TCTCCAGCCATTCACCACTGGGATCCCTAAACCTCTTTCTTGTTAGATTCTTTCTTTACTCAAGCAATCTAACGAGGTTTCACCTCCAGCTTCCTAGCTGGAATAATATTCACAAATCCTAAGAACTGGCTGAATTTACACTACACCACAGAGCCTCAACTGACTCTGTCCTTCAGGGTTTCATTCCCCCTGACTGAACTATTATCCCAGAGTCCCCTTTGACTCTGTCCTTCAGGGTCTCATCCGCCTGACTGAAATTATGCCAGAGTCCCAGTTGACTCTGCCCCTCAGGGTTTCATTCCCCTGACTGAACTATTATCCCAGAGTCCCCTTTGACTCTGTCCTTCAGGGTCTCATCCGCCTGACTGAAATTAAACTGTCGTTTTCAAACCTTTCCTACTTAAGCTCCGCCCACCTCCTCTGGCCTGTCACCATGGCAACCTATCTCTCTCAGCTAGGTCATGGCTACAATGTAAAGCATAAACACAGTTTAAAACACAGTTATAATAGACACTTCTCTACAAGGGCCAATAGTCCAACAGGACACAACAAAAGTTTTTCTGCCACATCCTGACTGCAGAATGCCCTCCCTTTAGCGTCTTGGTTGGCCCCAAGTTTGGCTTCATTTCAGTGCCAAGAAAAAAATAAAGCTTTTGTTAAAGCCCTTGGGATCTAATGCTTTTATCTGTTTTCTAAATTTATATATAAATTAATACATTTTAGGCTATGTTTTATGGTGCCTTACATTTAAATTTGTATTACAATATTTTAAATTGTGTTTCATTTGGTTTTACTGTAAACCGTTTTGAGTCTCTTGTACAGAAAGTGGCTGGTCCACCTTGTTTGGATGGCTGTAATGGCAAGGTGAAGCCTTCTTTCTTTCTTTCTTTCTCTCTCTCTCTCTCTCTCTCTCTCTCTCTCCCTCCCTCCCTCCCTCCCTCCCTCCTTCCCTCGCTCCCTCCCTCCTTCTGTTTTTTCTCTTTTTTTCTGCTACAAAACAGTGGCTGTCAAAAACCTTGGGTTGCAAGTGGAGTGCTAGAAGGAGGCAGCCGCTAGAAGGAAAAGCACAAGGAGGAAAAAGACACCACTCCAGGGCTTACAAATTAAGTGAAAAGAGATGCCTTTTAAAAAGTAAGCCCAGGGTAGGATAGCTCCAGGTCGATCACTCTTCCTTTCCTGGGAAGTCGAGAAGCCTCCTTAAAATGCCTTGGAAAGCTGCATGCTGCAAGAGGAGAGCACTGCACATTCCTGCAGCGCCTGCCTCCTCTAGAGTAGAAACAGCTTTAAGAAATCCAGATCTTAATGAAGGATATAAGGACAAATGATGCCTAAAATGATGGGAAGGGGAGTCAGAGAAGTCCCCCCCCCCCCCCCCCCAATGGGCAGTATAAAAAACAAATCTTTTGGCTTCCTGGACTGAAAAACTAGTCAAGAGCCCCACCGAAATTCAGGACATCGGAACAGATAGCAGTTTGCCCTGATTGAATAAGCCTAATAAATATTTATTTATTTATTTACGATATTTATAGTCTGCCTTTCTCAGCCATATGGTGACTCTAGGCAGGTTACAGATTGGCACAATTTGATGTCAGGCATTCATAAAAGTGCCATTAAAAACAATCAACATTACAGTATAAAACATATTAAAACCGTCAAAGCATATAGTTATAGTTATCGGTGTCATCCTGTTAAAAACGTTTTCCAGTAACATCGTCTGGCCATTCCATGTTCATCATTCATAGTTCCGTGTTATCTATTCCGCTGCATTCTCAAAGCTTGCTCAAAGAGGGAGGGGAGGGGTCCGATCTAATATCCCTGGGGAGGGAGTTCCATAGCTGGGTCAGTCTTAAGGTACCATAATATTCGAGACCCAGTGTAAGCCACAAATGTTTGAGATGGGTGCTGTTTTTGATTTGGAATTTGTGATCTTAGCCATGCAGGGTTTTTTGGGTAGGTTATGTGCTGAGGGTATATTACAAACCATCTGTTTATTCATTACTGGATTTGAAAAGTACTGAGTTATTCATTGCTGTTCTTAAAAAATATTGGTAGTTGTGCTTCCCACATTGGTTTTCTATTCCTTTCTGTTGCTCTTTAATGAGCATTGATAAGACAAATGCACATCATCATCATAATAGTTTGAATTCAGTTTATTCTACTCCGTGATATAAAATGAAATGTAATTATTTTGATTACCAGACTGGAGGAAAGTGATATGACTCTGCTAATATGTCAAAAGACTAAGCCTAAAACTAGAAAGTGGGGAGTAAATTCTGGAACTCCCTTCTTCCCAGGGAATCCAGAATGGGCCCCTCCCTGCTCTCCATCCAGTGGCAGGCAAAAATATATTTATTCAGATAGGCTTTAAAACAAGAAAGTTTTAAGAGCCAGAGGGTGCTGTGGAGCTATGTGAATAGGTTTATAATAGGTTCTAATGGTTCATTTTAATAGTTTGGATGTTTAATTCTATTTTAATGTTTGTATGTTATCTGGATTTTAAACTGTATATTCTTTTACTTTTTCTGTTAGTATCTTTCAGTTTCGTTTTTAGAGGGATATAGTGGGATACAAATAATAATAATAATAATAATAATAATAATAATTTAAAAAACTGTGACATATTTTGCTTTTGTGCCAGTGAAATAATAATAATAATAATAATAATAATAATAATAATAATAATAATAATTGGAGTGTTCTGTTGTTTCCAGGCTCTATGGCCATGTTCTAACTATTTTCTCCTGATGTTTCACTTGCATCTGTGGCTGGTATCTTCGGCCAGGAGAAAATGCTGCTAGAACATGGCCTCAGTGATTCTGGCTGTGAAAGTCTTTGACAATACAATAATAATAATAGTGCTGATGATAAAATAATCAGGGCTGTGCTGCAAGGCAGTGTTCCTGGATAGCAAAAATTAATGAAAAATCTAGAAAGTATGGAAAGAAATTAGGGGCATGTGACAAAATAGTCTAGTGACATGAATAAATCTCTCTCGTACACAAATATATATCCTAGAAAGCAAACCCATGAAGATATGCATTGAATGTGCATCCCATTGCACACAATGGGATCAAAACAATACAATTCAACCTCTGTCTCTGTTTTTATTTATTTATTTATTTGTTTGTTTGTTTCCAATATTTATATCCCTCCCTTCTCAACCCCAAAGGGGACTCCAGAGGGAGATGTTAGGCACAGACTTAAGTCTACAAGCCCAAAAGGAGCATTGGGGGGTGGGGGGGAATTACCATGAAAAATACACATTTGTTGATCAGCTGCGGATAGTCGGCTACAGGAAATAAACATTGAAATACAGACAATGGGTTAGGGAGACCTTTCGTTATAATTATACCTGTTAATAGATACCCTCAGCACCACACACACACATCCCATAATGTAACATACAAGTAGCAGAATCATATCCAACAATGGGTGATCCCACAATTGTTCAACAAATGAACATTCATTGATTATGTGAAACAATAGGGTGAAAATTGGAAGTACTCAGGGTGACTAGAGAAGAAGAGTGTGTGCGTCAACAGACCTGTGAAGAAGGCATTTCACATTTATTGAGTCTGGCTTCACTTCCAGGTACTGATAGGAAACAATTTTAGAGCAGAGGTGGGCAAACTATGGCCAGTGGATTGGAAAAGGGTGTACAGAAGGCAAGAGGCAACAGAAGACATTAAAATGCAGAAGTGTTCTTTTGAAAGCCTTTCTCTGCACATTTGTCCTTCTTAATACTATGTACTTTGCAGTACAGAAGTAGCTGACTGAGCTTCAGGAAACACCACATTGACAAGATGTGTGGTTCCTGCTTTGCTTAGGTGCTATTAATGGCCAAGCAACATCTAATTGATGTTGTCACTGCTAAGATGAAGCAAGCTTACCTTCTGGTCTTTGAAGCATCAGTTTCAGTTTATTTCCTCTGGAAACTCCTAAAGGAATCAAAAATCAAGTAAACAAAATAAATTCATCAATATTCATAAAGTTCAACTTTTTTAATGCTGTTACAAATCTAATTAGACTTATTTGACGAAAGTGAGTTTGCAATAAAAGCAAGATACTTCTGTATATAAATAAACTCTGTTAAGTTTAGGAAATGATACAGCCCCCTTCTTTTGGTTTGCTAAATAAAAAGCCATCCACAAAATATGGGCATTTCATCTGTCAATACAGTCAAACAAATGAAAACCAGTTTACAGTTTCAAATAATTAAGTTTTCTCGTTAGAGCATAATTTTGTCCTTAAAGCATCCTACTTATTTACTACATTTCTATCCCATCCTTCACACCCTGAAGGGCACTCAAGGCAGCCTTCCAGAAAGACAACAATTCAATGCCATATGAACACACAGTCAATTAAAATAAGCAATTACATTAAAAACATTTAAAAACTACGCAGTCCAAAATCATAATCCAGAGCCATTCCAATTGTCAACTGCACATATTCCATATCCATTTCTAGCACTGCATTACTTTACTGACCAAAGGTTTGGTCCCACAGCCATGTCTTCACTTTCTTTCTGAAGGCCAGGAGGGAGGGCGCTGATTTGATTTCACCCGGGAGAGAGTTCCATAGCCGAGGGGTTACCATTGAAAAGGCTCTGCCTCATCCCCACCAAACGCACCCATGAAGGAGGCGGGACCGAGAGCAGGGCCTCCCCCAAAGATCTTAACCTCCAAGATGGTTCATAGGGGGAGATGCATTCGGGCAAGTAAACTGTGCCAGAACCATTCAGAGCTTTATAGGCTAAAGTCAGCACTTTGAATTGTGCTCGGTAGCAGACTGGCAGCCAGTGGAGCTGACACAACAGGGTTGTATCCTCCCTGTACGCTGCTCCAGTGAGCAATCTGGCTGCCATCTGTTGGACCACTAGAAGCTTCTGAGCAGTCTTCAAAGGCAATCCCACATAGAGCACATTGCAGAAGTCTATGCAGGATGTAACACTAGATCTACTCTTAGAGTCAGAAAGTAATATAGAGCACAGGGCATGAAACTATAAGCTCTGGGAAATGCAAAAAGACCTCATGAAAACACAATTCCTAAGTGCCTCATGCTTGATGACTTACAGTTGCATTGCAACCTTTAAAATTAAGAAGATGTACAGAGTTCCAAAAAGGCTGGCAGTTTGAATCCAGGGAGTGGGGTGAGCTCTCACTATTAGCTCCAGCTTCTGCCAACATTTGCATGTTCAAAAACATGCAAATGTGAATAGATCGAAAGGTACTGCTCCAGTGGGAAGGTAACGGTGCTCCATGCAGTCATGCCAGCCACATGACCTTGGAGGTGTCTATGGACAGCACCAGTTCTTCAGCTTAGAAATGGAGATATGCACCAGACATGACTAAACTTAATGTCAAGGAGAAACCTTTACCTTTTACAGAAAATTTGTAATCAATTGGAGTTCCCATTTAATATTGCAATATTGAAAAAGGGAGAGCTTGGACTTCAACCAATGAAGCTTTAATTGTCCTGTTTCTTGAAGCTTTGGACTTACCCTTTCCTAAAGAGTTTGAAGGCTCTGTATTTGATGGTGATGGGAGACCACCAAAGAGTTTACCCTCCAGATTGCGACGGGACGTAGTACCTAGTAAAAGAGAATGCAGGAAATTGAAAAAATAACACAAACAAGGCAAAAACAGCAACTGGATTTATAAAGCTACAGTTCACAACCTCTGAGGATGCCTGCCATAGATACAAGCGAAATGTCAGGAGAGAATGCTTCTAGAACATGGCCATACAGCCCAAAAAAACCTACATTAACCCTACATTTACATCTGTTTTAGGTTTTGTTCTGTATTGAAGGACACCACATCATGTTATAAAATATGTGAACAACAGTAAAAATCATTAGATTTTTTTTAAAACCCTGCTAAATGCCAAGACGACTAAGATATTTTAGCTTTAGCCAGTTCATAAAATGAGGCAAAGGATTAATGTTGAAAACAGAAGACAGAATCCATTACTATTATAGTAAAGAAGTAATATATTCTGGACTCAATCTCCCAATAAAGTTTCAGGCACAGAAATCATTCATTTTCAGAACATACTGTTCCATAACATTTGCAAGGCCGTATAATGCTCATCTCTGCCTTGAATCGAATAACAAACCCAAACTACAGTAAACCCAGTTCTTGAAGTCAGTTCTTGAACAGTAAGGGTTTGTCTATCCCACAAAATAATCTAGCACAATTCATATTATTGAAACCTGGAGTGGAGCTTCCCAGGATTCACCTCATTAGCACCACACCTACATGTAATATAAGGTTTTCCCTTAACATTAAGTCTAGTCGAGTCCGATTCTGGGGGGTGGTGCTCATCTCCATTTCTAAGCCAAAGAGTCGGCGTTGTCCATAGACACCTCCAAGGTCATGTGGCCAGTATGACTGTATGGAGCACCGTTACCTTCCCGCTGGAGCGATACCTATTAATCTCACATTTGCATGTTTTCAAACTGCTAGTTTGGAAGAAGCTGGGGCTAACAGTGGGAGCTCACACTACTCCCTGGATTCAAACCTGTGACCTTTTGGTCAACAAATTCAACAGCTCAGCAGTTTAACCCACTGCGCCTCCTGTGTTGTTGAAAGCCTAGCTTGCTTGGGCATTATAATGAGGTGCCCAGACATGTGTTCAATGATGAGGAAATAGACTAATGGACCCTCTTGTTGTTGATCGCATTCTGAGCAAGTAACTTCCCCAGCAGAGCTCTGTTGGGATGCTGTTTGGCCAGGAAGAGAATAGCCACTTCCTGGCTGCTTCCCAGTGCAAAAGTAAAAAAAGAAAGGCAGGCAATGGAAAATCACTTCAGGAAAAGAGATTTCCCACTGATTCCCCTTACCCATGCCACGTCCCAACACAAAAATAAAGAAATGTTTAATGTCAGAAAGCATACACTCCAGCAAGTAAAACTTGGCAGCCCCTGCCCCCACAAGATAGTGATATTCGCCACCCAGAAATATGTCCCACCTTTCCTTCCCCCAAGCCACCCCAATCTAGATTGCATATACACAGCCAAACACAGCAACAGAGCAGATTTTCTTGGAAATAGCAGCGCAAAAAGTGAGTTTTGGTATTAAGCCCCATAGAAGTGCTTTCATTTTTTTGGAAAGTGGCATTCATAACCTTTTGGAAAGGAGCCCCCGGTGAAGCAGTGGGTTAAAGCACTGAGCTGCTTAACTTGCTGACCGTAAGATTGCAGGTTCGAATCCGGGAAGCAGCATGAGCTCCCGCTGTTAGCCCCAACTACTGCCAACCTAGCAATGCGAAAACATGCAGATATTAGTAGATCAATAAGTACTGCTCCAGCGGGAAGGTAACAACGCTCCATGAAGTCATGTGGCCACAGGACTTTGGAGGTGACTATGGACAATGCTGGCTCTTCGGCTTAGAAATTGAGATGAGCACCAATCCCCAGAGTCGGACACAACTAGACGTAATGTCAGCTGAAAACCTTTACCTTTCTAACCTTTTGGAAAGGCATTATTTTTTAGAGATCATAACCTTTTGGAAAACCAGAAATCTTTTGGAAATGTCTTTTGGATCTGCTACCGGGCTGAATTCAAAGTGCTGGCGTTGGCCTTTAAAGCCCTAAACGGTTCCGGCCCAAGCTACCTATCTGACCGCATCTCTGCCTATGAACCCACCAGGACTTTGAGATCTTCCGGGGAGACCCTGCTCTCGATCCCGCCTGCTTCTCAAGCTCGGCTGGCGGGGACGAGAGATAGGGCCTTCTCGGTGGTGGCTCCTCGGCTGTGGAACGCCCTTCCTACGGACATTAGACTAGCACCATCTCTAATGGTATTCCGCAAAAAGGTAAAGACCTGGATGTTTGTGCAGGCGTTTGAGTAATTTAGTGCAATCTGGTAATGGAACATAGGAATGGAACAATGGCCGACGAACCTGGACTACGCTTGGATGATGAGAAGATTGGGTACGGTTGTTTTTTGTAATAAATTTGCATTGTAATTGCTTATTGGTAATTTATGGATAATGTGTTAAGTCAATTGTTATATGTTGTATGGAACCACTGCTGTTTCTACTGTTTTTACTGTTTGTGAACCGCTGTGAGTCGCCTTCGGGCTTGAGATACAGCGGTATATAAGCAAAGTAAATAAATAAATAAATAAATAAATGTGACTCTTTTGGAGATTATTTGGCATTCACACTATCTGGAATGATCATAACCCTTTTGTAAAGTATGGTCTTCCAGAGAAGAACCAAAAATTCATTTGAGTAAAATCTTCTCCTTAGTGGTAAATATCCACTAGTATTCATGCAAGGCAAATTAGGTTTCTCGGTTGTTAGACTGATAAACTTGGTTATCTCTGTGAACTGTTAGAAACAAAGATAATGCCTTGGCTAAATGATATGTAATTATGGGAGTTGTAGTTTGGTGAGGCCTCAGCATTATTCACCAGAGAAGGCTACAGACTTTGTAAAACTACACTGAAACATGGCAGTTCAAGTGGTGTCAAACTACATTAATTCTACAGTGTGGTTGCACTCAAAGGCCATTTGAACTTGCATTTGAGAAGTGACCAGGAAGAGCCATGGAGCACTGACAAGATGTGGCAGCATTGCTACGTTTTAAAGTTCATTTTCAACTTTAGCATTATTTTCCCGTTCTTTTGGCACACCTCAGGTGAAGGAATTGTGTGCATTTTGATAGATTCAGTATATGAGCATGGGAGCAAGACTGCTGTATGTGCAGAGATGGAAGACTTCAATACTGCCCAGAGTGGGGGAATAGTGGTTGAAATAGACAACAGAAATGGGTACACTGGATTGATTATGGAGAAACGTTATTAGTGACATTTCTTTAAGACTGGAGGCAATGTATAGACTTTTTGTACAAAGGGAAGTAAGGAAAGGAATTGATTAGAAAAAAAACAGGTTTTTGGAAGAAGGGACTATAGTACAGGGAGGCCTTGGCATTCGCCTGAGTGTGATTCCAGGACACCTCAAATTTGTGGATACTTAAGTCCCATTATATGAAAAAAGGGTAGCAAAATGATGTTTTTTTATATATAAAGGCAAAGTAATGGTTTGCTTTTTTTAGGAGGGGATATTTTTAGTCATGGATTGGAGAATCTTTCTCCCTTTCTCCCTTCCTTCTCATCTGTCTTCCTTCCTTCCATCCATCCATCCTTCTATACTTCCTTTATTCCTGTCTTTCTTCTTACCTTCCTTCCTTCCTGTCTTTCTTCTTACCTTCCTTCCTTCCTGTCTTCCTTTCCTCCTTCCTATCTTTCTTCCTGTCTTCTGTCCTTTCCATCTTTCTTCCTGTCTTCCTTCCTTCCTGTCTTTCTTCCTTGCTTCCTTCCAGTCTTTCTTCCTGTCTTCCTTCTTGTATTTCTTCCTTCCTTGCTTGCTTCCTTCCTTTCTGTCTTCCTTCCTTCCTTTCCTTCCTGTCCTTCCTGTCTTTCTCCCTTCTCATCTGTCTTCCTTCCATCCACCCTTCTATACTTCCTTTATTCCTGTCTTTCTTCTTACCTTTCTTCCTTCCTGTCTTCCTTTCCTCCTTCCTATCTTTCTTCCTGTCTTCTGTCCTTTCATCTTTCTTTCTGTCTTCCTTCCTTCCTGTCTGTCTGTCTTTCTTCCTTCATTCCTTCCTTCCTGTCTTTCTTCCTTGCTTCCTTCCAGTTTTTCTTCCTGTCTTCCTTCTTGTATTTCTTCCTTCCTTGCTTACTTGCTTCCTTCCTTTCTGTCTTCCTTCCTTCCCATCTTCCTTCCTGTCTTTCCTTCCTTTCTTTCTCTCATTTCTCTCTCTCTCCTTCCTCCTAGTTCTGTCTGTCCTTCCTTTCTCTGTCATTTTCTCTCCCTCTCCCTCTTCCTTCCTTTCTTCCTTCCTGCCTTTTTTCTTTGCTTTGTTCCAGTTTTTCTTCCTGTCGTCTGTCTTCCTTCCTCGTTCTGTGTTTTGTTAAGGGTATAAGGTTGAGTTGGAGCAATTTTTTTACGTTAGTTATTAGTGTATTCGTTCGATGCGTTATACACGTCAAGGTAGTGTTCGTTATGACGGTTATGTATACGCGATTCGTGGGTGATGTCCTGTCTTCCTTCTTCCTCTGTTCCTTCCTTCCTTCCTTCCTTTCTTCCTTCCTTCCTTCCTTCCTTCCTTCCCTTCTTCCTTTGTTCCTTCTCTTCCTCTTCCTTCCCTCCTCTTCTTTCTTTCCTTTCTTTCTTTCCTTTCTTCCCTTCCTTCCTTCCTTCCTTCCTTCCTTCCTCTCCTTCCTTTCCTTCCTTCCTTCCTTCCTCTTCTTTTTCTCTCTCTCTCCCTCTCCCTTCCTTCCCTCTTTTTTTCTTCTTCTCCTTCCTTCCTCCCTTCCTTCTTCCTTTCTTTCCTCCCATCTTCCTCCCTTCCCTTCCTTTCCTTTCTTTCTTTCTTCTTCTTTCTTTCTTTCTACCTTCCTTCCTTCCTCTCTTTTTCTCTTCTCTCCTTCTTTCTCTGTCCTTCCTTCCTCTCTTTTCTCCCCCCTCTTCCTTCCTTCCTGTATTTCTTCCTTCCTTCCTTCCTTCCTTCCTTCCTTCCTTCCTTCTTTCCTTCCAGTCTTTCCTCCTGTCTTCCTTCCTTCCCATCTTCTTTCATTCCTTCCTCTCATTTCTCTCTCTCTCTCCTTCTTCCTTTCTGTCTGTCCTTCCTTCCTCTGTCATTTTTTCTCTCCCTCTCCCTTCTTTTTTTATCTGTCTCTTTATTTTATCAGCGTGTCGTTTTCTACTTTTCCCCCTTGATTGAGTAATCAACCTCTGTAATGTTTCATTAATTCCAACTTTTTTAAATCCCGGAGATTCCACCCAGAATGGGAGGCCGTGCCTGCCAGACTCCCCCCCCCCCCCCGGCCCCCGTGCGCCCTTCTCCTTTCCAAGCCCTGCCACAACTTTTCCCTCCCTCTCTAGGTCGTGCTTGGGGGGGGGGCATGAGGCTCTCCGGAGGAGGGGGCCTTCCTCCCTCCCCCCTCTTCTTTGTGCCCCTCTTGGCACTCACCTGGGCCGCAGGACAGGAGCAGGAGCAGCCCCACCGCGGCCAGGCAGCGCAGCGGAGCCCGCATCTTGGAGGGAAGGAAGGCAGGCAGGCAGGCAGCTCTCGGCCCGACCTTCTCGCGGCTCTCCTTGTCCTCCTTCTCCTCTCCTTTTTCCCACCTACGAGAATAACGGGAGGCGCCTCCGAAGGGGAAGGAGGAGGAGGAGGGTCTGGGCAAGGCGAGGCAAGGGGCCGCCAAGAGACGCTGGGGAGGCTGAGCCACCTTGGCAGGGAGTCAGCCCACCTCCGTCTTCCCCCCTCCTTGCTCCATCCCCATCCGAGGAGGAGAGGGGTTTCAGGATGGGGAAACCACCACAAGTGTGTGGCCAACCCTCACTTTTGCCAGTTGGAAGAGACATTCCCTTGCCTTCCAGCCCAGAGAAGAGAAGACTTCGTAGTCCCCAGTACAGGCAGACCCCAAGAGAGGTTCTGGAGGTTTGTTCTTAAGTTGAATTTGTATGTAATTCGGAACAGGTACTTTTTTAAAGTATAACTCCAGCCCAAACAGCTGGAGGGCCACAGTTTGGGGATGCCTGATCGCATAGGGAAGGGTTAACACCCCTGTGAAGTTTGTTTTGCCATCTCTGTCCCAAATCTCTCTCTCTCTTTCCCCCCATCCACCCACCCCACCCACCCATCCATCTACCTATATCAGGCATCCTCAAATGGTGATCCTTCAGCTGTTTGGGCCTTCAACTCCCAGGATTCCTGACAATTGAACAAGCTCATTAGGGCTTCTGGGAGTTGGAGGCCCAGACAGCTGGAGGGCCACAGTTTGGGGATGCCTGATTGCATAGGGAAGGGTTAACCCCCCTGTGAAGTTTGTTTTGCCATCTCTGTCCCTGTTCAGAAGCTCTCATTTCACTTTCTGTCCCTGTGATCATGGGATTTTGAAAAAGAATTGCCTTGTGGAAACAGCGATTGGTGAGAAAGCTTCATCTTTTTCCCTGTAATAATTCTTTCAGGAATAAATTTCTCTTCTGATGTTTGTAACTCAGAGACTGCCTGTGATTTGTTTGGGACAGCTTGGAAGGTTTGGACTGTTCTCCTCCGTTGGTTCCAGGATGACAGTAGACCACACCTGGAATATTGTGTCCAATGCTGGGCATCACAATTGAAGGGAGATGTTGACAAGCTAGAATGTGTCCAAAGGAGGGTGACTAAAATGATCAAGGGTGTGGAGAACAATCCCTATGAGGAGTGGCTTAAAGAGCTGGCTGTGTTTAGCCTGCAGAAGAGAAGGCTGAGAGGAGACATATTTTTTTGTTGTGTTAGGAGCGACTTTTGTCGTGTTAGGAGCGAAACTGCAAGTCGCTTCTGGTGTGAGAGAATTGGCCGTCTGCAAGGACGTTGCCCAGGGGATGCCTGGGTGATTTGATGTTTTTATCATCCTTGTGGGAGGCTTCTCTCATGTCCCCACATGAGGAGCTGAAGCTGATAGAGGGAGCTCATCCGCCTCTCCCCAGATTCGATCCTGTGACCTGTCGGTCTTCAGTCCTGCCAGCACAGGGGTTTAACCCAGTGCGCCACCAGGGGGCTCCTGAGAGGAGACATGACAGCCATGTATAAATATGTGAGATGAAGTCATAGGGAGGAGGGAGCAAGCTTGTTTTCTGCTGTCCTGGAGACAAAGATGCAGAACAATGGCTTCAAACTACAGGAAAAGAGATTCCACTGGAACATGAGAAAGAGTTTTCTGACTGTGAGAGCTGTTCAGCAGTGGAACTCTGCCCCGGAGTGTGGCGAAGGCTCCTTCTATGGAGGCTTTTAAACAGAGGCTGGATGGCCATCTGTCAGGGGTGCTTTGAATGCAATTTTCCTCCTTCTTGGCAGGGGATTGGACTTATTGGCCCATGAGGTCTCTTCCAACTCAAGGATTCTATGATTCTGTGACTCATGGGGACATTCCCTGAATTTGAGAGAAGCTTCTCCTCTCAGTTACGTCTCTTTCTCTCTCTCTCTCTCTCCCTCCCTCCAGAAAATGCAATGCCACCACTGATGTATGCAAAGGGATGTTATAGCATGTTAGAGGCTACCTGTGAGAAGTTGGTAGCATAAGCTTTCTTAGACTGGGGTGCATCTATACCCGTGGTTCTCAACCTGTGGGTCCCCAGATGTTTTGGCCTTCAACTCCCATAAATCCTAACAGCTAGTAAACAGGCTAGGATTTCTGGGAGTTGTTGTCCAAAACACCCGGGGACCCACAACAGCACATATACTAAAACTGCAGCACATATACTAAAATTGGAACGATACAGAGAAGATTAGCATGGCCCCTGCGCAAGGATGACACGCAAATTCGTGAAGCGTTCCATATTTTTGTTCGAACAAGAAGTGCAATGATTGGTAATGACTATAGGAATGGAACAACGGAAAATAATACTGGATTGTGGGTTGGACGATGAGACGACGCTGAATGGTTTTTGTAGTAATGACGATGTTTTGTATAATGTTGGATTGTGAATTGTTTTATACTGTGTCTTGAATTTTGCTCTCCCTATGTTGTACACCGCTGTGAGTCGCCCCCGGGCTGAGAACAGCGGTATATAAGCAAAGTAAATAAATAAATAAATAAATAAACCACTGCTCTAGTCTCAGATAAAATTTCTGTCCACAAAAGCATATGTTTTTCTTTTATGGCTCTCTTTATGTCCTTTTATTTGGAAAATCAATTAAGGTGAGAAAGGCTTAGTTGTTACACAGTGCTATCAAGTTTTTCTGCCTGGGAAAACTCTGAACCTTTACACCATCTCACATCTACTTTCCAAACCATGTCAGCAACCTTTCTCACATGAGGGACTTTTATTCTGCTAGGCCCTGCCTCATCTGCAGAATATTAGAAGTAGTCCATACATTTTCCTGCAACGGACATTGGTGACTGATGATTGCATGGTAACAAATCTTTTTGAGTTCAGTGTAAAATTTTAAGAAGTTGAACATGCTGAAACCGACACTTCTCCAAGAAATAATAAGCTGCTTTGAGTTTCCTTCAGGAGAGATAAAGCGGGCTATAGATAAACATTAACAACAACAACAACAACAGGTTCCACGACACCAGGTGCACCTACACTATAGAATTAATTCAGTTTGTTGCCAGTTTAATTGCCATTGGCTCTTTGTTATGAATTCCTACGGTTTGTAGTTTGGTGAGGCACCAGCACTTTGTGGCAGAGAGAGAAGGCTAAAGATCTTGTAAAACTATAACTCCCAGGGTCCCATAACATTGAACAATTCCTGTTAAATTTGTGTCAAACCGCTTTCATTTAACAGTATAGATGCTTGTTGTATAGCATCTATACGGCTACAGTCCAGATTGAATTGGCTGCCTCACTGATATAAGCAGCACAAGTTTCAACTGCTGTCTCTTCTTCCCCCCTCATCTCTCACAATATTTTTCTTAGAAGAAAAATAGAATTGTCAAAAAGGAAAAGATGGACTACCTGCATAAGGCTGGTTGGTTGGTAGCCTGAGGAGAACTCCACCTGGAAAGCACTCGTGCATAATATATGCCATGGCTGGCTGCTGTCTTCTGCCTGAGAAGTATTGACACTAACATTTTGAGCAGGTGTGCTCTTACCTACTCTTAGTCTGCCATGTAGGTTGCACATGGTTGTTTTTTTAAACCTGCTTAGTGGTTTTTAAGTACATCAAGTTTGAATTGGCTTAATAACAAGGAAACAGCTTTAGATAAGAATACATATTTATGACAAAAATCTAGCAATGCTCATTCTTTCACACAGCTTAGGACGCCATCACATTTGCATATATGCTATTTCTGAGCTCATTTGCATGCAGTTCCCAATGGGTCCCATTACATGACTTTTGTTTCCTTTTCATTAGCAACCTGTTGGAAACCGCTTTCCAAAGGTCTCAGAAATGGAGTAATTGAACACAAGTTTTTTTTTCATGTCAGGAGCAACTTGAGAAACTGCAAGTCGCTTCTCGCATGAGAGAGTTGGTCATCTGCAAGGACATTGCCCAGAGGACACCCGGGTGTTTTACCATCCTGTGGGAGGCTTCTCCCATGTCTCCCATGAGAAGCTGGAGCTGACCGATGGGAGTTCAGCCCACTCCCTGAATTCAAACCACTGACCTTCCAGTCAGCAGTCCTGTCAGCACAAGGGCTTAACCTATTGCATCACCAGGGGCTCCGAACACAAGTTGGAATTGTGTTCTTTTTTACCTTAAGTTGATTCTGAGGTGCAGCTTATCTGTATGAGCCTACATCCCATTGAATCTGCAAAATTTAGAGACTTCCGGGCTACATAACTAAAATATTTACCCGCTATCACAAGTGAGGTTGGTGGGGACAAGGAGCAGGGCCTTCTCAGTGGTGGCCCCTCACCTGTGGAACTCACTCCCAGGAGAAATTAGGTCATCAACTTCCCTCCTCTCCTTCAGGAGGAAAGTAAAGACATGGTTGTAGTATCAGTCCTTTGGGCAATCTGACAACTAGATAAGGACAATCAGATGATTAGGACTGACAGGACTAACAAAGTGGAATTGGAAACTGGACTATGAGATGGCGAACGCTGACTGTTAATGAGGTGCAATTGGTTTTAGTGGTTTTATCGGCTTTATTGGTTTTATTGTTATATGCAGAAACTGTTTCTTAACTGTTAACTGCTGCTAGATTGTTTTATACTACTGTTATGTGATGTTGGCATCGAATTATACCTTTGTAAGCCGCGCTGAGTCCCCTCCGGGGTGAGAAGGGCAGGGTGGAAGTAATCGAAATAAATAAATAAATAAATAAATAAATAAAGGGGGGGAATGGTCAGAGGGTGATGTCTAGGGACATCAAATGGATTGGAAGGAGCAAGCCTTTTGTGGTGCGATGAGTCAAAGTAGATAAATCTCAAAACATAAGAAAAGGATGGGATTTGTATGCATGCTGTGTGTACAGAGCAGGCCTGTATAACCTGTGGTCCTCCAGCTGTTTGGGCCTCCAACTTCCAGAATTCCTGGCCATTAGACAAGCTGGCTAGGGCTTCTGGGAGTTGAAGGGCAAAATAGCTGGAGGGCCATAGGTTGTGCAGGCCTGTTATAGAATATGCATCCAGTCCTTATGAACAACCGGATGCATACAGATTTAGCATTTCCCAATATTAATGTGATGAGGCCCTAAG